GCGGTTTGGGGCGTGACAATGCAACTGTATCGACTTTTTTTCATCTTTGGAAATGGATAATTGAGGATCCATGGTTCGCAACCTCTGAAAATTGGAAATGGTTCGCAGCTCTCAAAAATGGCGGATAAGAGATAAGAGAGAAGCGATGAAAACCCTACGAAGAGAGAAGTTGGGTAGATAGGGGCCAGGTGAAATAAGGGGTGTGGCAAGTCATAGGGTAAATGGCAAGGGCATTGTACTCATTTTAATCCTTTTTTTTGCCATTTAAGGAAATGAGAAATTTTTAATGGGACAATGATAGCCGTTATATTTACTTTTATTTAACATAAGTATTTATAAGTATTTGTTGAAGAAAAGAAGAGAAATCGGGCAAATACCTTCAGAATGAGAGTTAGAGCATAAAATATCGCGATGAACGGCTTTTTGGACCAAGAGGATGACGTTCTGCCCATAATTCGAGTATAACTTATTGTAGAGAACTCGAAATCACTCGACTCGAATTTCATGTGAATTTTAACTCAATAAGGTACAAATGTTATGAAGACGTCATGGCCGGAATATGAAAGGATCAAGACTCAATCAACCAATAAAGTCAGATGTTGCTGATGGGATTTTAGGATGCATACCTCTTAGTGTTTTATCCATATCTTTTGATTGGATGACTAAAAACACGTCATTCAAGTTTTGGTGGATAGAAGACTTCATTATATACCACTTTGGTGAACGAATCATGTCCAAATTCGTAGCGGAACATCTCCAAAATCCCAGGACAAAAGCGGCGTCGGAATTGCACCAAACTGGCGCCGGTCTGATGATTTTCACACATGTAACCGCAAACCAGTAGCTTAATCGGCGCCAGGTTACCCTTATAACTGGCGCCGGTTATGTCAAAATTCCGTATTTTGGCTGCAAAACGAATAAGACCGGCACCGGTTAACCCTGAAACCGGCGCCGGTTAAGTCAGATTCTGCTAAAACAAAGCAACGTACAAGAGGAGTTTTTATGGGAAAACTCCATCTTCCTCTTTTCTTGATCAAATATTGCTCCATACCTGGTTGTTGGGCTCAAATAGACTAAAAGAAGTCATTCTTTAGCCTATATAAAGCCCTCAATTCATCAAACAAAGGTATTTCATTCCATAGATTAATTCTTAGTTTTTATATTTTACCGGAATTAAACAACGTTTCCTTGTGGATTCGACCCGGTATTTTATCAGAATTTATTACTATATCGGCACTTATACACTTGAAAGTTTAGCTCGGTCAGACAACCAAAAAAGAAAAGTGGTAACTTGTTTCCGGGACAAAGGGAGTATGCTCTTGGGAATGTACGCTTAAATTTGTTATGAAATTTAAAGTATCACCCTTGGACTTTGCGAAATTTTTTAAATTAAAGGGAGTATGCTTTTACGGTATTTGTGAGTTTTTTTTGCGAATATAATTGGATTCTATAATTACAAAAAAGTTAACGAAAGCCTTTTTAATAAAAAATTTGAGAACAGTTTTGTTCACCCCTCAAAAGAGGGTGAACATCACTCCCACCCTATTGGACTGACACATGGCATGACAATTGTTTTAAATTTACAAGTGTTATAATTTTTCATTTTTTGTTCAATTTTTTCAAAAAATATAATAATGTTTTTATTTTTTTATGATCTTTCATATGATACCAATATTATATATTCCATCTGTCCCATTAGAAGGTTCCCACTTTCCTTTTCGGACGTCCCATATAAAGGTTCTCATTTCCATTTTAGGAAACAATTAACAATCTTAAGTGACAAATTAATCATTAAATATTAAAAGTAATACATTTATAACATCACAATTATCAATACTAACTACATTATAATATATACCAAATAAAATTATTTCTCAAAGTATACTCGAAGTACTTTATTTAATTATTACCTAAATAACCGTGTCATTTTGCTATGGAATCTTCAAATTGGACGGAGGTAGTATATAAAGTGTACAAAAAAATCCCGGCAAAAAAATAGATTTAAGAAAAAAAGATTTTTTTTTCAATTTTTTTTCAAATTGTTTCATACTCCCTCCGTTTCTAAAAGAAACTCACACTTTCCTTTTTGAGATGTTTCAAAAACAAAGTCACACTTTCCTTATTTCCTTATTTGGCAAAGAAATCTACATCCAAACAGTGCCAAACAGTGCAAAACAGTGTCAAACAGTGTCCAAACAGTACCAAACAGTGTCTAAACAGTGTTTTCTAAAAAGTCAATTTATTTCCTTAATAATCGTGAAGTCAAACCGTGACTTTCTTTTGGAAACGGAGGGAGTATGCAATATGGATACGGGATACCATTGGAAAGATTATAAAAATTATTAAATCTGATACGTAGTATATTTTTTGTGAAAATTAGATGATATAAAAAAAGTTAAAATAATTTTAAGAAAAAAAACGTGTAATGCCAAATGGCATGCTTTGGACAGAGGTATGATGTGTAAAGGGGTGAACAAAATTGAACTCCAAATAGGTTTATTTTTTAGAGATGCTTATGATTAACCCTTTCTGATTTGGTCATAATTATTACGTAGTAGTACAATCTTGTAATTATAGAATCCAACTATATACCCCTTGGACTTTGCTTGTAGTTGATGTCTCCCCCTTCCGTCAAAACCCTACTAAAAAATTAAACTGTTCAATTAAAACATCGTTAAATAGGCCTTGATTTGACAAAAATGCCCTTAATTAGGATTACTTGCTGGATACACTCATTTGCGCACTTTTACTAACATACCTTTGTCGCTTCAACTGAATTCCTCGAGCCGCTATGAATCTAAGCTCTATTATTTAAGTAACATACTACTTTAGTTTTAATTAAATAGAATAGTGATATTTCACTTAAATAGGACTATAGGAGTAAACACAATGTAAAATTCTAATATAGGAATTATATATTTTCTCTAGATAGGAATAACAAATGTCATGTTTGTAAATATTATCAATAATGGCATTAGTATAGTTGAATACAGTATAGTGACATGAAATGTATTCATGAAACCTGTAGTCTTTATGCATGTATACATTGGTTGATAGCCACATAGCACATCCGACTGTCTCTGATCTGTACCCATATTTTTATCAAACAAATTAATTAAGGGCGAAAAAATTGTTAAAAAGTTTATATCCCATATCAAACTATTACAAAACGTAAGATCGAAATTTTCTGTAATCTGCAAATGTAATCATTTAACAGTTAGCATTAGGATTTAGCTGGATTTAGGGCAAAGCTCGTTTTGAAATATGCATGTATATATTCATAGCATTTAAACTTTGAACCGCTTTTTGTCAATTTCGCCGCTAATGTCATTGTTACTCCGCTAATGTCAATTTCAATGCTAAAACGTTAATGGTGCATACGTGTCATGAGAAATAACCAATGAAAATACAATAAATAGAATATTTCTCTCCTTATTTGAAGTATCTTATATCATTATGGTAAGTTTTTCTTCACAATGTCAAGCACAACGTCTAGATGTAGACATGGTGATTGACATTGCAGGGAAAAACTTACCAAAAACACATAAGACCGTGGAAAGACGGAGAGAGAAATGTTATAAAATCAATCTTTTGTGTCTATCTCTCTCATTCCACATGTGCACCGTGCATATTGTAGCATTGGAGATGCTCTTAGGTTACGAATACAGGTGAAGTTAATGTTTTGAAATGAGTAAAGTCACGCTTAACAAGCAGCGGAACCCCTTAAGTCACCGCTTAACAAACGAACGCCCCCTCATGTTTTATTTTAGCAGCGACTTGAGCATTTTAAAATGACTAGCGTACCCTTACTTTCACACCATGTGAACTTTTTATTTACCTCCATATCCAATCTTGGTCCAAAGGTGGAATCTCCCACCCCATGAGCCCCCATACCCCGACCCGACAGGATTTTTGGGAGGATGTTAATCACGGTGACTCAGTCGGCCCAATGATGGTAGGCCTTTTTCCCGTGCGCACCAGAGGCCCAGCCTTATTTCAGGTTCTGTAACCTCCACACGGCCGCTGCGGGTTTCGAACCTTGGTCACTTGGTCCAAATTTCTCACCACTGAACCAACTGAGCTACCCGTGCGGGTACCTCCATATCCAATCAAACCCTCATTTAGTCGCTCTTTTTCATTCCTATGGATAGTGTCCTTTCGTTCTATGCTTCCTCTTCCATTGAAGAAAAATAGGAAATTGCCTTAAATAGAAGTAAATGACGTTTGAAATTCCAAAATAGGACTACTATGTTTTTCTTCCCGAAATAGAAGTTGTTACTGCCATGCATGAAATATACTGTCATGATTGAAAAATATTGTCATTAATTATAATAAATACTGTCATTTAAATGCACTGCACTGCAACTATTTGACAGTCACGCCTACAAGATGACAGTAAATAATGTCATGTTAATCCTATTTCGAGAATAAAAACATAGTAGTCCCATTTTAGAATTCCAAACTTCATGCGCTGTGATACTTTTCCAGCGAAGCTTTCATTGCACATCAAAACTTCATTTTTTTATCGTCGGCAAAGCTCCTCTAGTATCTTATGGAGTATATATCATAATAAACATCGCAGATATATCACACCTTCATCGTAGAAGTAGGATTAAATTGGAGATATAATCTTAATTGGTGAATTATATTTGGGTAAATACCAGTAATATGCCAATTAAGTTGGATTCCAAATGTTGGCCTGAGTTTTGAGTTAGTATGTTTCATTTAGGTATTCAAGTAGCTATTCACTTTTTCGGAGATGGGAGACATGCTCCAAGGAAGATTATTTTTGACATTTTAGTTGTAAGACACATTTTTACAGGAATGAAGTAAACATATACCGAATTATTTAATAAGCAGTTCTTATTAAGCAGTGGCTTAGTAACGCGGGGTTTAGTAAGCATGTTTATTAATCAATGAAGTAAATGTAATCTCATTTAACAGCTAGCATTAAGATTTAGGGTGTACACTATTAAAAGGGGGGGGGGGGGGGGGGGGGGGGGGGGCTCACGTTTTGAAATATGCCTGCATATATTCATACCATTTAATCTTTGAACCACTTTTTGTCAATTTCAAAGCAGATGTAGTACTTAATTTCACTATTCTCAAGGAAGAAATATAATTTACACTAACACTTCCACTACTTGAGCTCCTCAACATGCATTTCATTAAGAAGCTCTGATCCTGCAGCCATTTAAGCATCTTCTCCAGTATTCTCATCTTCTTGATCATACGGCACCTCATGCCGTGGCATCTTGTACTTCTCTCGCAGCTCTTTGATAGGGATGAAATCTCCGGCAGCATCCATCCCGTAAAATAACAAGGAAATGTACGGATGGTCAAACCTGTTCTGTGTAGAGATGATCGCAATTGTAATAAGGGTGAGGTAGAAAAACATGCCAGTGGAGCTTTCTCATCTGTAAAAAGAATACTCCATCCATCTTGGAGGAAAACATTAGAAGAAAGAAACCCTTCTAATACTATTTTAGTGGGTTTAATGTGTCAAACCCTCTTCTCATGCAAACAACACCCTAAGACAAAACAAATATAATTGCCAACAAAACATGCATATTTGGTGTAATTAGATGCACAAAGTATTATAATAGCTAAGGTGCATCTTACTCGGCTGCTAAATTTGTTGTTCCAATAATGAGTCCATGATTGATCATAGATCATAACAGTGTTTTGATGCATTTTTTTAATCACAATGGGGGCTAATACGTAGATTTTTTATATTAAATATTAGTTTTGAAGCATTAAACCCTAGTTTTAGTATGAAAGCATGACTTTTGAGGGGTTGGTGTGTGGGTGTATGCACTACTATTACTTACTGTGTTTGACTCAATTGGGGCATCCAAATTCTCCTCTGGCACTGCATGGTGAATACAAGGCATATGACTCATAGATCGAGTATAGTGCTTTTCTTTTCAAGCTGAGATATCTTAATAATAAAGTAGATAGATGATAACATATGTAAGGTAGAACCAAAACCTTAATTACCATATGTAACTAATAGATTTGGGTCTGCAGAGACATCAACCAACACCTGTAAATAGCAAAGCAGAGTGTTATACTCGGCATTTAATATGAATGTCAGGAAGCTATATAAAGCAGTTTGTGACTTCGTGTTCATCGGTTATACTATTATTGCAGCAACAGAATAGCTGGATATGACATATGAAATGAAGACGTAAAGCATGCATACCCTCACCCTCCCCTAAACATTACTTCCAAGTGGACATATTAGGAATGATTGGTTTAGGATGTTTTAATTAAACTGTAATTTTCTGGTCTGGTATAATCTAGTCTTTTTAAGTTTGATTTGGTCTGGTAGATGTCTATTATATGCGTATTTTACAATTGTTGAAGTCTGCTCTGATCTCATTTGTTCTATTTTCGTCTCGAACTCACACCAGTGCAATTAAAAACATCCTTAGTTTTATCCTGATTTTTCCATCATTTGCAATGGAGCCAAAGATTCATTATTTTTTGGCTTGAGATTATGATGGAATAAAGCAAAATGACTCACTAAACTGTCTGCGCTTCTTTGTTATGAAAGCGCAGTCCGTCCATGCAATTTTGGACGCAATTTTCACTATGGGTCATCCGGAAACAGTCTCTCTGTGCTTTAGTACAGGGGTAAGACTGCGTACATCCGAACCCCCTTACCCCACCATAGGTGGGAGCCTTTGCGGCACTGGGGTAAATGAAAACGACAGACTCCTCCCTCCTGTATGAATGGCCTAATATGAAAAGCAAAAGATGCACATCCCAGCCATAGCCTCGTAATGAAATCTTAGATACTTCCTCCAGTCCCAAAAGAACTTCATTGTTTGACTTTACGTTTTTTAAGAAGGTGAATTTTTTTGTTTCGACTTTCTCTTTATGCTCCCAAAAAAGTAGGTAAGGGTAGTGGGAGAGAGAAAGTGGGTGAAAAGTAGGTAATAAAGTAAGGCTATAAAGGTAACTTTATATTAAAAAGTTGCAAAAAATAGAAGTGTGAAGTTTATTTTGGACCTACCCAAAAAGGAAAGTGTGAAGTTTATTTGGAACCAGAGGGAATACATTTTTATGCTTGTAACTAGAGGATGACTGAACCATTGTTTTATTCAACATATTTATAATCTTATTAGTTATTCTTAAATTAATAAGAGACTCAGATGGCACCAAACCATAGACTTTCATACTCCGTTCAAATCTAGTGGGAGAATGGGACAAGAAATACTCACAGCAGACCAAAGTACTAGGAGAACAAAGGCTTCCTTGACGTGTTTCTGCTCCAAAAAGTTGTACATAAAAAGAGGTAGAAAAAACCTGATAAAATGGCTGATCAGAACCACGAGACAACTTGTCAATCTTGGCATTTTCCATCCATGAACTTGATTCACAGCACACCGGATCCATCCCACATATAACACCGCAATATCCTTGAATACAATAATATTAATATACATTCACTTTGAGTGTCACAATAGAAATATTACACGCAAAATAGTAAAATGCAAATCTACATCCACCAAGGCATAGTTTCCACTCAGCAAGCCAAACAGAAACAATCCAAAGTAAAACTAGATCATATGCTATCCGGTTTTAGTTCAGTAATGGTTTCCAAAAATGAATTAATCCAAACTGAAGCTGAATAAAACCAAATCAAAGAACTAAAAATACAATAAATCCTCATTATATAAAACCAAACCAAACCAAAAAACACAAATAAACTGTACCGAACAGAAACTGCCCACCATTATCAATAACCATGTTTTTACATTATTGGTTGGGATGAAAACCATATGGGAGGAAATGATAGAAAATTATGATTTTTCTCTTGTTAGGGGAAAAAGAAGAAATAAGGAAATTCTGATATTCCCATCATAATTTCCTCTTCCCATTTACCTCTAAATTCCAAATTGGAGATAAAAGTGAAATTTAGGCGGTAAGGGTTATCATTCATCATACAAGTATACTATTCTACTCCAACACCAGATATTTATTCATCTATATTCTATATGGAGTCTAACTAAGTGAAAAAAAAAGTTGCAGCTTTGTCTTAGCCTTTACCTCCAAAACTACCACCTGAGTGAAAAACAAATTTTCTTTCCTCTACCTCATATTTCTCCAATGCGGTCCCATAAGAGGAAATAAAAAAGGAAAGTACATTTAGCTTCTTTTCATATTTCATATCCTCAAGAATCAAAAGAAGAAAGTTCCTCAACAAAGTGCTTGGCTCACTTGTAGTGATGAAAGAAAACTTGTACACAAACAATTGTTATACTATAATTTAAGAAACAACAACACCAACATCCAAGCCTTAATCTCAAAAGATTTTGAGATCGGCTAAGATGAATTGATCCATGATATCAGAGCCAAAAGAGAAGAAAAAAGAATAAGAATAAAAACAAAAAAGTAAGATAAATCGGATAAGATAAAAATAAATCTCCCCTTATATAATAAGAGCCATCTCCCGTTACCATAGTACTTTTTCCGTTAACCACTCCACTTTTTTAACGAAGAATACAACTCCTGCCTCTAATACATCTATTCCGTTAACCCTTCCCCGAACCGTTGTTTGCAGTTACTTAGCTTCCCATCGCCAAAATGTTTTCCGGCCTTAAGCGTATAACTTCAACCAAACAATTCTCATGCTGCTTCACGCCTTCACATCTGCTCTCATCCTTCATCCGCTGCTCGTGTTACCTTCTTTGGCTTTACTGCTACTCTCCAAACAAGGTATATATTACATACTTATTACTTCGGTCGTTCTGATAACTAAGGGCTGCAATTGTTCATCACTCTCTTGTTCATCTAATTCAAATTCCCATCACGCGCTTCATTTATCAAATTAGTCTGCACACTATATATTTATGCCCACAAAGTGTTCGTCAAAATGCCACTTGAGTTAAGGAATGCTTGCAATCAATATGTTACACTCATTTTTCTTTCTTTTAAAGGTTGGGCGTGTGCGGTAATACACGGCTATCAGAGATCAAATTGCTCTTCAAAAACTAGAATACATTTTCACTTTTGAGACCATGTTTGTTTTAAAATAAGCTAACAGCAATGTGTGTTTGGATATCTATAATATTGATTTTTGTAAATGCATCAGATAATATCGTTTAATCACACATATTTCTTTTCATATAGATAACAATGAACACCCCATCTCATTCCTTTCTCTTCTTCTAGCCCTCCTAATAACCTTCAACTTAATAGTCATGAAACAGTATTAAGAAGCACCTGTCAAGGAAGTAGTTAAATAATCATCCCTGCCTAGGCTCTTTTGTCATTTTTCCATTCATCTACTTACTAATTTAACCTTCATCCCTGCCTAGGTTAAATATTTCGCTAACAACAAATGCATACTCAAATAATTAGAGTTTCAAGTAGCCTAAAGTCTCACTCTTATGACCATTTTTTAGTGGTGGCCTGTCATGTGTAAATGTTAACAACCTGTATCATGGGGTAAAATTTGGTGAATTGAACAAATTTGATGATTTATATAAAGCACACAGAAATTATAATTTTAAAAATAATTGGGGTAAGACACTGAAACTTATACCATATAAGTTAAACTTTCATTGACAATAACGACTCCAACATTATTTTTTGGTCTTTTTTTGGAGAATATTGCTATCATGTGAAATTTTGAAACCCCTAAACTAAACCAGATCGTACGTTAAGTGATGGGGATGTTTCCATATTAAATTATTGGTTCCCACCAAAATGAAGTGTTTGGGTGCAACCATAGTTGCTGCTTATTTCAACATAAGTACATAAATTCACATTGAAAAAGGTATACTACATTTTTCAAATAGGTTAAGTAAATAGGCTACAATTTTCAAATATTTGGCATTCGTACCAGGTTGGATGGTGAAAATGGAATGCTTGACCAAAGTATGTGGCATATTTTAACAATTGGGGTATGATTGGCTGATCAGAATTATGCAATTCTATAAATGCTTATGTACAGTATAAATAAATCGCATCGTAGTAGGATTACAAATGATGTTTTGTTCAACACATTTGTCTACCTTTCACTTGTTCACTTCATTCGAATTCTCTTAATCATCTGGAGTTTTGTCTTTAATTGATGCTTTAGCATAATTCATAAATTGATGGATTGGTGAAAAAAACTACTGAAAAAAGTTCTTCATATTCTCAATATGAAGAAGTTTTTTGCATTTCTCTCAAAGTTAGTGAAAGTGGAGGTTGTTTTCCATTACTGTAAAAATCTTATCACTTTGTTTCATTTATTTCTCTTTAGGATAAAATTTTGTTTATGCTCATGTCTACATCTTTTCGCATCAATGAAGCTTGCAATTTTAAATAGACAAATGCCCATTTTTACTTTCATGGAATTTTGGCTAGAAGCCTGGAACAATGAGTATTTAGTTTTATCTCAATAGTCATTGCTGGAACTAATGCTTAGTCATGCTGCCATACATAAGACGTAGATTTTGTTACTTCTTTTCCATGAATACCTCATTTGCAAGGCTGCACTAAATCAATCATACTCTCTCTTGCGAAAAGATGTAGACATGAGCATAAACAAAATTTTATTGATGCGAAAAGATGTAGACATGAGCATAAACAAAATTTTATCCTAAAGAGAAATAAATGAAACAAAGTGATAAGATTTTTACAGTAATGGAAAACAACCTCCACTTTCACTAACTTTGAGAGAAATGCAAAAAACTTCTTCATATTGAGAATGTGAAGAACTTTTTTCAGTAGTTTTTTTCACCAATCCATCAATTTATGAATTATGCTAAAGCATCAATTAAAGACAAAACTCCAGATGATTAAGAGAATTCGAATGAAGTGAACAAGTGAAAGGTAGACAAATGTGTTGAACAAAACATAATTTGTAATCCTACTACGATGCGATTTATTTATACTGTACATAAGCATTTATAGAACTGCATAATTCTGATCAGCCAATCATACCCCAATTGTTAAAATATGCCACATACTTTGGTCAAGCATTCCATTTTCACCATCCAACCTGGTACGAATGCCAAATATTTGAAAATTGTAGCCTATTTACTTAACCTATTTGAAAAATGTAGTATACATTTTTCAATGTGAATTTATGTACTTATGTTGAAATAAGCAGCAACTATGGTTGCACCCAAACACTTCATTTTGGTGGGAACCAATAATTTAATATGGAAACATCCCCATCACTTATCTTAACGTACGATCTGGTTTAGTTTAGGGGTTTCAAAATTTCACATGATAGCAATATTCTCCAAAAAAGGACCAAAAAATAATGTTGGAGTCGTTATTGTCAATGAAAGTTTAACTTATATGGTATAAGTTTCAGTGTCTTACCCCAATTATTTTTAAAATTATAATTTCTGTGTGCTTTATATAAATCATCAAATTTGTTCAATTCACCAAATTTTACCCCATGATACAGGTTGTTAACATTTACACATGACAGGCCACCACTACAAAATGGTCATAAGAGTGAGACTTTAGGCTTCTTAGAATTCTAAGTATAGTCTAAAATATTCCATACAAGTAATACTACCATCACAAACTCCCACGTGTTTTCTTAATTCAGTACGTTTAATGTACACATAATTAATCCCGCATAAATGATTTCTCCATATGAGGAAATTCCATTTCATTGTTTTTTCTTGTATTATTGATAATATTCTTTAAAAAGACTAAAAAGTGAGATGTAAAATGAATTAATGGGGAAAATATTTTAGGTTCTATGGTAAAAGAGACCCTTTACGAATTCAAATATACTGTCAAGGTTTCATACATCCCAGTTTCAAATAATATTCATCCCTAACCATAAACAGTAATTCATTATACATTGGGCACAGATCGCATGTAGTGCGTACACCGCTAGTATAAGATAAACAATAACATAAGAACATAAGAAAGATTCTACCTCCGTCCAAAAATACTTAGCCAAATTCAAAACTTTGACAATTATAAATATTTATTGGAAATTATTTATAATATAAAAGTGATATGAAAATGTTCTTTGTTAAAAGTACTTTCACAAGAGTATAAAATTTATAACTTTTATAATATTATACTAATCAAAACCATGGTCCAAAATTTAGGATTTGGCCAAGTATTTTGGGACGGAGGTAGTATAAGATAAAAAGATAAAAGAGCACAAGAAAGATAGAATTTAAAACTACCATAAGAATATAGAAAGATAAAGAAGAGAAACGAAAAAAAGAAAAAGGAGATAGAAAAGATAGAAAAGAGATCAATCGTCCACACGAATGTGCGCTCTCCATTATGCTCTCTCCAAAGCCATACTCTCATCCAACCCAAGAAGACGCATATCAGTTCTAATTCCTCTAATCCATATCTGTTTGAGTCTTCCTCTCCCTCTCCTCCCCGCCTCTTCTCCCCACTCTCAAGTCATCTAACAGGCGTACCACTCGTTCTTCTACGCACATGACCAAATCACTGCAATTGAGACTCCTGCATCTTATCTTCTATATGTGTTACCTTCACCTTTTGTCTGATTATCTCATTCTTCAAGTGATCTTTTCAAGTATGTCCACACATCCAACGCAACATCCGCATCTCTGTCACACTCATCTTTTGAATGTGACATCGTTTCACTGCCCAACACTTTAAGCTATACATCAATGCAAGCCTAATTGTTGTCCGATAAAATTTACCCTTCAATCTAATCGGGATACCTCGATCGCATAGAAATCCCGATGCACTCTTCCATTTTATCCACTCAGCTTTGATTCTATGGGATACATCTCCATCTAATTCACCATCTTTTAGAATTATGAAGCCTGAGTAACGGAACATATCACACACCAGTATCTCCTTATCAACAAGAGTAATCCCACGATTACTACTACTTCTACCTCCACCAAATTTGCACTCCATATATTCAGTCTTGCTTCGACTCAGTGAAATCCTTAGTGTCCAATGTTTGTCGTCATTCTTCTAACTTTGCTTTAACACCTGATTGCGTCTCATCAATCAATACAATATCATCAACAAACATCATGTACCATGGTATATCTTCTTGAATTGACTTCGTAAGTTCATCCATGACTATAACAAACAAAAAAGGACTTAGAGCATATCCTTGGTGCACTCCGATACTAATAGGGAACTATGCAGTCCTCCCTATAGTACAAGCCTCATACATATCCATGATGATACTGATATACTTACATGATATGCATTTTCTAGATAATGCCCACCAAAGAACTTCTTGAAGTACCATATCATATGTCTTTTCTAAGTCAATGAACACCAACAGCAGATCCTTTTTAATGTCTCTATACTTCTCCACAACTTATCTAAGCAGGTAAATGGCCTCAGTTGTTGAGCGACCAGACATAAAACCAAACTGATTCTCCAAAATTTTCACACTTTTTCGAAGTCTTTGCTCAACCACTCTTTCTCAAAGTTTCATGGTGTGACTCACTGACTCATAAGCTTAATCCCTCGATAGTTGGCACATTCTTGCACATCACCCTTATTTTGAAATAGGGGAAGGAAAGTACTCACTCTAATTTAAGGAAGAGAGAGTAAAAAAACACGTTCAAGTACATTTCCGGTTAGAACATGCTGTACTGAATTTTGCTGGTTTTATCAGGCCTTGTCTGCTTGAGTCGTGTTTAATTTGTTGAAGTCCAGTCTGTTCAAGTTTGGTTTGGTCTTAGATAAAATATTGTGTGTTTCAACTATGTTATGATGTGTTTTGATTGGTTTGAGTCTGGTTCGGTCTAGGACTCAAAAGAGCCACAATGAGAATACATCCTTAATATTCTCAATTGCATGCACTGGTCAGTCATACATATCTCGAGAATAAAACACAAATTAACTGTACAGAAAACCGATTGTCCTAAACAAATTTTTATTGGGCGCAGAAGCTCATTGCTTTTAACACAGAGAAGCAAGAACGTAGAAGAGGTGGTTCCGCAAATTCCATACCGAAAACCTTGTGCTTCACTCTCTGACCCAAACGGAATGCATAATAATCATTTCCATAAGTTTGAGCCCTCACTGATGCAGCCAGAGATTCCGCTTCAATTTTGGAAATTCGGTCTCGAATATCGGCAGCCAAACTATAGTTTTCACTTTGAACAGCATTCTGCTGGTCTGCACTGAAAGGAAGACAAATTAAACATAGTGTTTAGAAAGATGAAGAAGAACTGAGAAAGAAATACAGTATGAAAGAGACGATAGAGATAATGTGAACTTAGAGTTACTAGGATCATTACTATTCATTAACAGTCAGAAAAACCTATGAAAATCAAATTTTGTTACCGCAAGCGCAAGATACTAATAGCCAAATCTTGAACTTCACCCTCTGAGGCTGATCCTCGTCTAGATTCTTGCTCCTTTATAATTGCAGATTCAACCTGCAAAAATCAAATAATCAGGTTAGGAGACTAAAAACCATTGTTAAGGAATCAGGATATTTGATATTTGATTTTTGGTCAAGATCTATCAGGACAGATGAGCACCAAGTTGGTTGTTTCCAGGATGACGGCCAAATTGATATCTTGTGACAGTAAGGTTCACAATGCTTGCCGAGAGATGAGAATCCAACTGAAATGGCTGATGCCATTGCTAAGATGGGCTGATTGCACCAAGACAATGAGGCAATCCAGTGATCGTGTTGACAATAAAGAGCTTTGCTGATTGATTGTATTGTTGATTTGTGTAGATGTTCAATACCCTCTAATGAATGTCATTTCCTTTTGTTTATATATTAACTTCTCAGAACTTAGATGGCCGGAATGGCCGGAATGGAAGCAAACATAAAATTCATATTTTTTGTATAATACAATGAGTCTCATGTACACGGATTAGTCAAAATACAGATCGAACATTAATGGGCCAGAGCCCAGTTCAATGCTCTAATAAGCACTGTGAAGCCTCTAGCTGATAGAGAAGAACCTAGTGTGGTACTGCCTAAATAGGCATCGGTGGGCATGCTATAAAAATCAAAAGAGAATACATCAATTCTGCAACAGTATAAAATCCAGGTCAAAACCGTATTGTATGGCTATGATACTAATGTAGGTTCTTGCAAACATATCACTTAATATCTGACAATTCCAAACTAACCTCAGTGAGCTTATTTCTTAGTTGCTGGGCAATGTCGTATTGCTCCATATTCAGAGCACACTGCAAGAAAACAGCATATTGGAGCTCCATGCTCTTCCTTCTACTCATAAAATACTATTTAGCCGTGCTTAAACTCTATAGCCACTTATTATAGTGATAAAGCAATCTAGACCTGAACTCGTGTTGCCAAATCCAGTTGGAAAAAAAACATCAATATATCCTCATTGGCACTCTCGCTTCGCTCAGTGCTAGCAGAATCCTGCATGTCCCCTTTAAACAGCCATCCAGCTTCAACTCTCCAATTCCGTCCATGTGAAATATCAGTATGTCTAACATTAATTGTTCTTTTTCCATATGAATGCCAACCAGATTGACTACCCACACCAAACACTTTTGGGCCTTCACTACAATGTCCAAAAAACCTCCGTGAAACACATGTAGGTCCGCAAAAACCAAAGCATCTGGATGTTGCTAAAGTGCTTGTATATGTCCCTTGAACCATTTCTATAAAAATCCCCTTTCCAGGTTTTGCCACAACTCCAAGCACCAAAAGCACTATGAAATTATGAATCACTTGTCAGTTCTCTTTACCTGAAATTAGTGCAGAAGTGCAGAGAAAATAAAACCATTAACATAAAATCATCCAACCATGAACATTAACATAAAATCATCCAACCATGAACCATCTATCAATAACCCTGCAGTAAAACCCCATGAAAACGAGGAAAATCATTACTTCAGCAACCATGATTTGGGTATTCTTATGATCAAATTTTTGAAGTATATGATTCACATGTTCAGAAATATTTTCTACATCCCTCATCCTGTCCCTACAGACTGAACCAAATCAATCTCTTCCATCTTCCCGTTAGTACAGACTACAGATCGTAAGTGCATCCAAAATAGACAAAACACTTGTTCATTAATATTGGATATAGTGGAACATTGGATAGCATTCTAATAATTATCAAGGAAGAATAAATTTGAAATTTCTAGAACTTCTAGAGAGAGAAAAACTGGCTGAAGTTGAGAAGAAAATACAAATATTAAGCATCTACGTACTCAATTGCTAAGATCAAGCAGCGAGCCAGCCGGTGAAGAGCGAAGCTTGATCGACCCCTTCCCCTGCGCATAGGGGATTTCTGAGGGTTTCTGTACAGAAATTATAAGTAACTGTTTCCCATTAAAGTAACTGGGCATAGGGGATTTGGGAGGGTTTCTGTTCATTTCTTTCCTTTCTACAAATTTCAACCACACAATTTTTAATATTTTTATTTCACATCTAATTCAAAGAGTGCAAAGTCCATTGACAGAGTATATATCTAGAGAGAAGTGAGAGCTAGAGAGAGGGGTGCAAGTAAATGCTTCAATAGAATGATTTTGTAACCCCTACAACTACCTCCAGAGGAAGTATTTATAGGAAAAATACGGGCTGGGCTCCCAAGCCTTGGGCTTGGGAGGCCCATTTATAATTGGACCGCTATTGGGCCGAATACAATGTGTGTAGAAATGATTAAGTGTAAAATCTAGTTCTGTGAGACTTTTGTGGCCGACGAGGACACGGCCGACGAGGGCACGGCCGACGAGGGCACCCTAGTTCCCTGGCTTCATGATCATATTCTGAGTTAGTCCCTTTTCGGCCGACGGGGGTCCTTTGGCCGATGAGGGCACCGCTTGGTGGCTTGTGCTTTCTGTTCTTCTGAGTATGTGGGTCCTGGGGCCTAGACCCATATACTCCATCAGGAGTCCCCCACTCTTTAAGCTGAGATGTAGATGAAGTGAAGGAGAGTAGATTTTCTGTGTTTGATGTTCTTGGCCGATGCGGGACCACGTTGGTCGTTCCCTGTCAGCGTTGGTGGCCCTGTTCTGAGTTTGGCCGTTACCTGCCCCTTGATGTGGACGGGGAAGGCTGTTATTCCTTTGGTGTGCTTGTGTTGTGGACGATGAGTGTTCTGGTATGAGTGGCCGATGAAGGTAGCGTCTATCCTTGACCGTTGATGGTTGAACTTTCCTTTTGGGCTGATGAGGCCGTTGGGGTTGCGTCTTGTTTTGAGGACGACAGGCGTCCATTGTTCTGGATGGCCGATGAGGGTGATGTGCACTCTTTTTGGCCGTTGTCGATGACACCATGTGCCTTTGGGGGACAAGGCGTCTTGTTGCCCAATTTTTTTGGGGACGATGACATTGTCTGACCGGAGATGGAGTTGTGAGGACCTTGGAGCCGTTGTGGTACATGGACGATGATGATTCAGGTACGTTAGCCTCCTGTTCTTTTATTCCTGGCTGAGAGTGGTGTGTGGTCTCAAAGCCAATAAGTGTCCTGTGATCTCAAGCTTTGCTGCGGCCGATGGTGCACCACGATGTTATTGACGTTGTGGTGCATGTCTGATGTTGTAGTTGTGGACTTGGTATATTTTTATTTTCTCCTTTTGCCTGCTATTCTTGAGGTCGGTGTAGTCCCCCAGTCCCCCACTGCTTCAGGCCGAAGAGTGAGTGAGGGGTGAAGGAGTAGCTTGAAACCTAGGCCGAAGCGGGATTCTCATACTGCCCTTGGATCCAACCCTTTGGCGATTTCCTGACCAAGGTAACCCTGTGGGAGAACCCTTGGACGCAGGTCGCTTTCAAAGGGTTATCATCAAGGGTTTAGTGCGAGGGCCTCATGGTCGTTGGGTTCCTTTCCTTTGGGGTATTGTGGCCGTTGTAAAGCCTTCCTTTGCATAATATGTGTGGCCGTTTAGATGGCCGATACGGGTGCAACGTGGATGGACGTTGGCTGTGTTGGCCGTCGTGGGTGCTATTTTCCATTCCTTGCTCCGTAGGGCCTACTTCGCTGGTGGGTCGCTGATCTGTGGAGGGGGTTTGGCCTATAGACAGAATGGTGGCATCCCATTGGTGGCCGTTGGTGTGGACACTAAGGTGATGCCACGTGTAGTTACCGTTAGGGGGGGCTATAAATACCCTCCCCGTTCCGAGGACAGCCTTCATTTGCATTCTGAGTAACGAAGTGCTGCCCAAAAGTTTTAGAGAGATAAAGCCTTTGCTGAGTGTTCTTCACCTTCTTCAAAACTTCAAGGTTAGTTCCTTAATCCGTTCTTCTACTTCTTACATATTTTGCTCTCTCTAGGCTTTGATCTAGTGTTAGTCACAAAAACACTTTAGATCTAAAGTGGGTCCTTTTAGTGCCTTAGGAGTTGTTAAGATGAAAATCTTGAACGAGGAGTATTACCCGTATGACGACGAGCCCTCCGTCAAGTCTCTTGACTATGATGTGATCGAGGAGTGCGCCGAGGAGATTGAACACTTTAGCCCGTATAAATCCGGAGATAATGCGGACGAGGAGGACGAGGACGAAAGGTCCGTCTCGTCATCTGAGGGTGAGGACGCAGGGGTCTCCCGCGTAGTGGACGGGGCGTCCGCCTCTATTACCATTCTGTGCCTGAAGCCGGTGTCTGCTGTGAAGGGGGTACCACGGCCGAAGAGGAACAGGCGGCCGAAGAAGGGGCCAGGTTTCTCTTACCTGGACCTCACCAACATTTTCCTTATCAAGCCGGAGAGCAGCGCTGCTGATTATTTGGTCGCACAGATGTATGTGGGGCCGTTTGGGAGGGTTAGGGCGCCTAGGCCTACAGACCACGTGCTCAATCCGCCGCCGGGATACTTCGGAGTATATCCGATGAGCTTCGCCAAGGGGCTAAGGTTTCCCCTTCACCCCTTCATCCAGGAATATTTGGACATGGTGGGGCTCCCTCCGGCCTTGCTAACCCCTAACAGCTACTCGCTGATGGTGGGGTTCCTCCTCCGTTGTGCTGAATTAGGTTACAGGCCGACAACGGCCCTATTCATGAACCTTTATCAGATTGGCCGAGGGAGCCATAAGAACTGCGCCTGCTACGCCACTCTGCAACAGCTGCCGAAGAAAAGGACCTTCACGGACTTGCCTTCATCCATACATGGTTGGAAGAGCAAATTCGTCTTTGTGTCCCTTGGCGAGGGTGGCACTGAGTTCCCTTCCGTCGACCATGATGGGAGGTTTAACCTTCATGACCCGCCGAAGAGTTCGATCCTAGACGCTCAGGTGGAGGCATTCCTGGAGGGGGGGGGGGGGGGGCGAGGAGTGTGAAGGATTACATTATAGAGTACAAGATGACCGTTATCGGCTTCTTTAGATACTTCGTATATGGTGATAAGGAAGATGACGTCCAACTGTGGCCGAAGATGACCACTACCTTCGAGGAGGTCGACGGCCCTGATCTGGGCGTCCCTGCCGAAGCTGATGGTAATACCTCCTAAGGCGTCCTCATTTTACTTTGTTCTTTTACTTTGCTAACTTGTTTCTTTGTTGTGTAGATTTTGTAATGGATCGTCGATCTGTGATGAACAAGGCCGCTGCGAAGGCAAAGGCAGAGTTGGCCGCTAAGGAGGCCGCAGCGAAGGCAGCCGCCGGTGGTGATGTGACGAAGAAGCCACCCCCCCCCCCCCCTCCGAAGAAAAAGCGCCCGACGGAGGATTCTCAGAGGAAGCTGACTGAGGCCGGCATGCAACCCGCTAAGAAGTCCAAGAAGGCTTCATCTTCTGCCGTTGCTGATGAGGTCGGCGTACTAACCGTCCCGACTGTGGACGAAGGGGGATCTAGTGCTGCAGTTGCCCTCATGGACCTTACTTCTGGTCTTTCCGGGGATGTTTCTCAACCCCTCTCCCTTGGTGAGGATTCCCGGCCGAAGCGATCCGGCAAGGAGGTTGCTACGGCCACTTATAAGCTGGAGGTTGAATACCCCAAGGATGGGGGTGTTTTCAATGATGGCGTTGACGGCCACAGCGTGCTCTCTCAGGCCATTCCGGCCAAGGACCGGGTTTATCTTGACAAGCTTGGTGATGTCAAGATATACGATGGTGGGATGGACCTTATCTTCCAGGTAATTCCTTTCGTCCTTAACCTTATTGTTTTCCCTTGATATTTTTGCAAACTTGTCTGATAGCATTTTGTGTTGCAGGGTGCCTTCATGCTCATGGAGAGCAACAAAAGACAGCAACGGGAGATTGCCCGCTTGAAGGAATTTGAGCAGAAGGCAGCCTCGGCCGATGAGGCCATGAGCTGCTTAGGGAGGCTGTGAGAGGACTTTGCAGCCTTGCAAAGGAGGGCCGATGAGGCCGATGCGGCCAAGGAAGAGGCCCTGGCCAAACTGGCCGAAGAGAAGGATGCCCGTGAGGCTGATCGTCGGCGGGCCGATGAGGCCGAGAGGGCCAAGGCCGAAGCTGAGGCTGCAGTGGTGAAGGCTGCTGATGGTGCAGTGGAGAAGTTCTTGGCCGAAGGCTGGAAGGCCAATGAGCACTTGCCCTGGTGCTATGAGGTTGTAGCGGCCAAGCTCGAAGACTGGGGGCAGAACTCCCCTGCCGGCCAAGAATATTTTGAACGTGAAATGTCCGTGTATTACAACATGGGCCAACATCGGATGCAGAGGCTCCTTTATCGGCGGCTGAGTCGCGCTTTCAAAGCCCTGAACTACACTAGGGGTTAGGCCAGGCGGAACCTACAGCTTCCCAAGCTGATGAAGGATCCGGAGGAGCAGATCAAACTTCCTCTATGCGATAGGCAGGCTCCAATTGATAGTTCCGGCCTCGGCGAACCGGACTATGGTGAAGATGATGTCCTGGCCGACACCGCTACTTCCGCCGTAGAGACCAGTTTGGATGCAGAGACCGAGGATGGTGTCGAGCTCGTCGTTGACCAGGACGTTGCGGGTCACGCTGTCGAGGAGGCCTGATCGTCCGCAACTGACTGCTTTGTAATTAGTAAATTTTGTTTCATCGTCTGAATGTAATGGCCGAAGCGCCCTCCCATGTAATGACTTTTATGAATGAACTGTTTCCGGCCTTATTCTGTCTTCTCGTCGTTTTGTTCTCCCTTTACTTTTGTTCTCTGTTGGGTTTTTTTTAAAATTTGTCTAAGTGTTTTGGAATTGGGACTTAGGTAATTTTCTAAGTATCAAGGCTTCAAGTGAGTGGGTGTTCGTGTCGTCTTGGTGTTACGCCCCCTTTCACTTTTGAACGATACTTTGGAAAATTTCCTAAGTGTTGAACCAAATACCACACGTGGTAATCTCGTCGACCTGACGTTCTTTTCGGCCCTTTTGTCCACATGCCCCCTGTCTAAAGAGGAGGTCACATCTTGTTTCTGTAGTCGTAGCCGGTAAGGGTGTGCGTGTGATGGCCGAAGCGCTCCGCTATGGAACTTGATCTACTGATTGAATGGA